AGTAAAGTGGTGCAGTTAATGTCGATAAATATGAAAAGCAAATAAAAAGAATTTAATGACGTCAAAAATCACGTCGTGCTTATGCGACGCGCAGTTTTTATTCATCACAAGGCCTGAAATGAACTGTTATATGTATATATATATATATATATATATATATATATATATATATATATATATATATATATATATATATATATATATATATATATATATATATATATATATATATATTAGAGGGGTATTCAAAAAAAAATAATTTTGGAATCTAAAAAACCAAACAAAATAGACTTGAAGCAAATATTTTTAAACTAATTCCCAAAAAAATTAAGCAAAAAAACGAACCTCAAAGTGAATAAAAACAGCCTATTTTAAGTCTTGAGGAAAACATAAATATTTTTAATCAGTTTTTTTTTCTAGCGCATAGATAAATATTTGATATTTTGATTAAATTTTATGGTTTTTTTCTTCATTTAAAAAAACTATAATTTATATTTTAAATCACAAACACAAGACGTCAAGAGGACTTCCACTTGACGTCCTATAATAGTTGGTTAATCATATGATTAAAACGTAACTTAAGTGTGACTGTCAAATATCTTACCCTACTGAGATGTCAGTATCTGACCCTACTGAGACGTTCATTTGATGTCCAATGTCCTATTTATTACAGAAGATATTTTCAAATGAAATTTAAATTTATAATTTATAAGTTAAACTTATAAATTTAAATACAATGCATACAGAGCCGCATGGTAATTTAAATTACTTAATTACATGGTACCATGGGACTTAACTGATCTAGGAAATTCTTTTAAAGGATTTAACAAAGATCAATCTTCCCTTGGTTTATAAAATTAGTTACTGTGTTTGTAATTTTTTTTGGATTTCATTAATCAGATTTGTTGTAAATGTTTAGTTCCTTACTTGTGTAGGAAGAAACCTTGTTTGATTTTTTGAAAATCAATATAATGAAATAACTTTGATAGTTTGGTTTTACTTGCGTAGGAAGAAACCTTGTTTGATTTTTTGAAAATCAATATAATGGTTTAATTTTTTTTTTAGCGTTAAAAATTGAAAACAAAAAATATTAAAACAATACAATACTTTGGTTTTATTTCTCTTTTGATTTTTAGTTTTAAAGAAAATATAAAGAAGCAATATAGAAAAAAAGAGTTAAAGGAAATGTTAGTTTTTAATAATGATGACGATGAAAGTTTATTTTATGAAAAATTGTCTCCTTTGAACCCAATATTGTGCTCCTTAAATAATTAACTTGATTTTAATGAAAATGATAGCACCAATGATAAAGATGATAACCCAATTATATCTTCTGACAACATGATCAAAATCTAATATAGTTGAAAGTGAAGTATTGTAAAAGGAGAAACTTGCTATATGTGCAATTAAGCATTGATGGTCCTCTGTATCAACAAATGAGATTTTGGATTGAGAAATGGGATTTTGAAAGTATTTTTTCAAATTCCAGAGTGTACTGAAATTATATTAAACATTAATGTTGATGGGCTTCATATTTTTAAGTCTTCAAATTGTGAGTTATGGCCAATATTGTGCATGTTTTCTACTAAAGACATATTCATTTGTTCAATGTTTTGTAAGGCCAGTAAGCCCATTTCTTTAGAGGGATCCCAAACTTCTAACACATGTTGTGTTCATATAAAAGATAATGTTAAAAAAAAAGGTTTAAACCAAGTTTTTTTTTATTAAAAATAAATAATGAATGCATACCAAGAAAAACTAATGTTGTTGTTTTAGCCGAAGCTTGCTTTCTCCATTTTTTTCAATAACTTGGAGTCTTTAAATTATACATCACAATCTACAGACTTTGGCGATTCCTTTGAAGCGCGTTTAATTCATAAAAGCTTTAGCATTTGGCATCACGGTAATTTTTAATTAAAAAAAGTGTAATTAAACAAAGCTGCGTTTTTCTACTTTAATTCAAAAAGTACGATGTAGTAATTTTTTAACGTTCAGCAAAACAACTTTTACAACAAATTTTTGTAAAAATCAAAAATAATAAAAGCTTTTTATTTCATAGGAGGAACTTTTTTTTAACGATATTTTTAATAGTTTTTAGATTTATATATCTTACTTATAATTCGTTTGTTTTTAAATTAAAATAAATGTTAAAGCTTTACTTACGAATCTTATGATTTTCATACGAGTGTTTTACATTATATAGAACGTTATGTATACGGTCTCTCCTTATTGTGCAAGAGAGTGCAGTATTATATATTTTGAATCTTACTTATTTTTATTTAAACAATGGGAATTTTTTTCTAACTTCTCTGGTTATTTTTACGCTATGATAATTTTTGTTTTCCCGTCGAAAAAAAGTATTTATTAACAATTAATTTCATAAACTGACAGTATTAATTAGAGATATTTGATGAATTGTTAACTTTTTTTATTGTAAAAATTTTATTACGCTGATTTATTTTAAATTGCTGAATTTGCTGAATTGGATACGGATAAAAAAGAAATATCATTTTATTTTATATTTGATTTTTGATAATGAAACTTTTAAAATGTCGGCAACTTCATATCATTTAGAACCTGTTAAGGTTATGAAAAAAAAAGTACAAGAATACACTAAACAATACAGTTGACAGTAGTATCAGATATGAAAATTCGTGAAAAGATATGTAAGATCCTGGTTTTGCATTAAAAGTACAATTAATAAAAACACAAGTCTACATTATAAATTTTGATTATAAATTTACTGTTCAATATTTTATAACCATCAAATAAAAAACATGAAGTTTGTATATTTTCGCCCGTTTTATACAACTAATGTTTAACAAAAAAACGGACAAATTATTATTATATAACACAATAATTAACACATTAATTAATAGCAATAATTCAAGATAAATGGTAATTTAAATTGTCAAAATATCATAACGCGCGTTAAAAAACTTATTATATTTGGTATTTCCCTATTTGTATCGTATTTGGCATTTGTCTCTTAACATGAAAAATTAAAAAATTTTTAAAACACAACAAATACAAATTTTCAAGCAATTTTTTCTTCCAATTTTCATTTATTCAAAGAAAATTTACTATTAAACTTTTATTTCTCTCATCTAAAAAAAGAACGAGTGACGCAAAAAAAATAAATATTCTATACAATTCTTATTCATTCAAAGTTTAATTACGCGAAACTTTTCTTTCTCTTTTGTTCTACTCTTTTATAAAAAGAGCGAGTGATGAAATAAAAACTTTTCTTTCTTAACATAAATTTATACTTTGAGATAAAATTAAATTAGAAATAAAGCAAAAATGACTATTTTGATATTAATGAAAATAATCAACATGAACAACATTACCAACAACAATCATCAAATAAACAACACAATATCGCATAATTTTAGAAGCTTTTTATTTTTATTGCTTAGTCGTTCTAAATAATAAGTAAATTTAGTTCAAGTTAATATTTCAATACTTACAGTTGCAATATAATAAAGAAATGGTGTTTAATGTTGAACTTTTTATTTATTTATTTTTTACCTACATTTGTTATAAAAAACTTTCAAACCCCCATCATTAAAATAATTTGTTTTAAATATATTTCAAAGTGTTTATTCAAACTAATTTTTTTCGCTTGACTTCCCGAACTTCATGCAAAGCAAATTGAAACGAAATACCGTCTAACCAAATAAAAAATGCTATTACTAATTTTATACGGGTAATTAATATAAAACAATTTTTTATCAGAGTTTTGATTGAGATAATAAATATTCATAATTTATAAACTTTAAATATATGGCGTATAACAATTTATAGAAACGAACCAGCATTAAATATTTGAGGTTTTTAATATCTTTTTAAATGTTAAAAATAGAAAAAAAACTAAACAAATAATCAAAAAAATTTTGAATAAGAATAAAAATATTTCCAGAGTTTCATTTGTTAAAAGTCTACCGTGACGTCAAATACTAAAACTTTTATGAATTAAACGCGCTTCAAAGGAATCGCCAAAGTCTGTAGATTGCGGCATACAATTTAAAGACTCAGAGTTATTGAAAAAAATGGAGAAGACAAGCTTCTTTTATGCGTTAGAAGTAAAAGCTGGCTTTTACTTCTAACGCATTACTGGCATACTCAATCTTTTTTTGAAGTTTTTTGAAAAATATGCTAATAAACTTATAGCTGTCAATGACCATTTCAAAAGAGCTGTTGACTTTTTAGAAAATTTTGTTAAATATTTTTAAATTGTTTTTGATAAGTAAAATTGTAGTGATAACTTAAAATCATATTAACTTATTCTATTAAAAATATTACTTAAGTTAAAAATGCACAAAATGAGTAATTTTTATAAAGTTTGTATAAGAACGCCGCACCAAATTTTAGTTAATTTAAAAGGGAAGTTATAATTTTTTTTGGAGAGAAAATAAACATACCATTTTAAACAAAAATTCATATATTAATCTATGCCCTAAAAAAAAAAAAATAATAAAAATATTTATGCTTGCTTTGCCCTCAAGACCTAGAAAAAAAAATTAATAAAAATATTTATGCTTGCTTTGCCCTCAAGACCTAGAAAAAAAAAATTAATAAAAATATTTATGCTTGCTTTGCCCTCAAGACCTAGAAAAAAAAAAATTAATAAAAATATTTGCTTTGCCCTCAAGACCTAGAAAATAAGCTGTTTTGGTCACTTCAAGTTTCTTTATTTTTCCCAAATGTGTCCTTCGAGGGAAAAATTTATTTAATGTTGCTCAAGTTTTTTGGGAGTTAGTTTAGGCATATTTGCTTCAAATCTAAATGTTTGGGTTTGTAGATTCCAAAATTTTTATTTCTAATTTATGTATGTATGTATGTATGTATGTATGTATGTATGTATGTATGTATGTATGTATGTATGTATGTATGTATGTATGTATATATATATATATATATATATATATATATATATATATATATATATATATATATATATATATATAGACACACACAAACACCCACACAAATATTACCTTCCATCTCCCACCATATTCTAATGATGACCAACTAGGAGCTTGCCATATATCATTAAGTTGCCAGTACAAAGCTCCCATTGTATGCCCGGTCCCATTTATAAGACGACCATTCATCCTCCGATAGTGTTCGCTTTCGTACTTGGTACATGTAGCTTGTACAATTTGTGAAAGGTATACCATTTGAAGAAAATATGAAAGTGGGTTTTTTTGTTTTGGAAGCTTGTAATTTTGCTTTATTAAATTTTCAATCTCTTCATTACCTGAATTATATACAAATATATACAAATATAAATGTAGATTCAGCTGTACATAAAATGTCACTGTCATACTGAAATAGCTCAACATAAAAACTTTTTTTTCAAATGTAAAAACTTTTTTTTCAAGTTCTTAATTCTTCATTTTTTTTTAGCTTTAAAAAAGTCTGGACTGAAGTTGGATAACAGACTAAAATTTTCACAGTTAAATCCAAAAAAATGATTAACATGCGCAAAACATATACTTAAATGTTTAAAAATAAGTTGAATATGTAAAATTTAAATATTTAAAATTTAAACATTTTGGTTTAATATTTAAAACTTTTAAAATTAAATTTTTGAAGATCTTAAATTACAATTGTAGCAAAAAATTATTTTTAATATTTACCTTTTGCGTGATGTTGTCTGTAGTTCATTAGTAAGCTATTCCATGTTAACTCATCATCTGTAGTAACTTTTGACAAAGTAAAGTATGATGGGTAAGATTGGTAACCATATTCAGAGGCGAACCGAGGATTTGGAAAGATAGATACATTCCAACAATTTGATTTGTAATCATAAAAATGAACTAAATAATAAAAAATAATAACACTAAAATAACTTTTTTTTATCTGCCATTTTAAAATGAAAATTTTTAAGTGGCAGATAAAACAAATTTGATAGCTAAGTTGAACAAATAAAAAGTAATTAATAAATATATAAATAGTTACCATCTCCATACAAAGGGTTTTGTGGATTTTTAGAAATATATCCCTCTTCTTTGTAATGTATTCCATTTGAAGGTGAAGAAAATAAATAAGGACGGAGTGGATCTTCACTTCTTACAATTGGCCAAATGGTGTCAACATATAACTTGATTTAAAAAAAAAATGTAATCCAAATAAATATAACTTTATATTTCCTAAATATTATCATAAACATGTAATAAATATTAACAGATATATTACTTATATTATACATAATTACTATTATTAAAAATTAGTATTTTAGAAAAATATTATAGTTTTTAAAAGAATTTTACTTTAACATAATCATCCGTTAATCTTTTTTTGTTGGGTTTAACTTCATTCCTGGGAATAATATATATATATATATATATATATATATATATATATGTATATATATATATATATATATATATATATATATATATATATATATATATATATATGTATATACTAAAAAAGATAAAACAAACATTACAAAATAAATTAAAAATAAATAAAAAATATAAAATCAGAAAACACATCACACAAAAACAGTGATAAAGCAAACTACGTAATTTTTTGATATTAACTTTATTTAACGTTATACTGTTTAAATTTATATCAACATTTATTTAATGTTATATATCATATATAACATGAAATAATTTTAATATTAAAAACAATATTTTAAATAAATAACATATGCTACCCACATCTAGTTGGTGATATATTGTTGCGGATGGTTATATTTTTGTGAATAATAACATGAGTTGATATTTTTTGGTGATTATTAACAAAAGTAAATCTTTTTTGTGATTAATAACTATTAAATATTAAAAAATATATATTTTGTTTAAATATATTTTGTTTAAATAAAAGTAATGATAACATTAACAACAATTCATTTAAATTAGTTTGACATGAGTTATAAACAAAAAACTTCATTTAAATTTAAAACCTCCTTTAAATAACAATAAAAGATACAAATAACAAAAGTAGTATGAACAATTATGCAACAAAACTTTTAAAACTTTAGGAAGTTTAAATAAATTATTTTTACCACCAATTTTGTGATATTGCAGCCTCGTTTTCATTATTCCCACTCCATGCAATTATACTTGGATGATGTTGCAAACGACGCACCTTAAAATAGAAAAAGTTACTCTTCATCTTTAGCTGATTTATTTTCTGTGGCAACTTTGTGTCAGTTGATGTGGCAACTGTGTCAGTTTTATGCAATCTGTGGGTGGTGGCAATAAAAAACCTTTTTATTGGCAATAGAAAGTTTAAAAAGCTTTCAAAAGCATACAACATTTAGTAGCAAAATTAAATATCAGTATTAGCTGAAAAGTTCATAATCTTGTAGGCTATCTTGTTTCTTTTATTTTAACATAGTTAATATAACATTCTTATATACACTGAGCAGGTTAGAAACAATCTATTGATAATTATTTGAGAGATTATGAAAACAACTACATAAAAAATTGAGGTCTTTTTTTTATTTTGCTAAATTCTAAGACATCAGTTTTTTTTTCCCCCAAATAAATTTTATTATTAATAAAGTATTATTCATTTTGTAACTCTGTATAAACAAATTTTATTTTTGTTGTTAAATTCTTTTTTGTTGTTAAATTAAATGTTGTAAAATTTTATTTTTGTTGTTAAATTAATAAAAAAAATTACAATTGTTGTAATACATATTTGACTTTTTAAAGAGTTCTTTTTTAAAAAACAATAAAAATAAACATTTTTTTGTTTCTAACTTTTTCTTGAATTCTATAATATGCATAAATGTGGTACTTAAACCTGCTTTACTTTGTGTAATAAACAGAAATTATTAAACATTGTTTAAATTGATATTAACATTTCTTAATGTACAAGATTAATTACAACCAGCATGTTTATTATTTTGTCTGTGTCAGGTCAGGTGTATGGTCTTTATGATCACCCTGCTACTGGTAACATGTAACCCAGTGCAACATATTCCATTCCCGCTGCCTTGTGAGATTCATTTACTAAGCAAAGGCTGAAAGAAGTTTGCTTCCTGTTATCAGTACTATTTAAAATCAGTCAAGTCAAAAAAATATATATGTATATATAGTAATATATGCATTTTTTTTTGTGTGTGTGTGTGACTTCTATATAGTTATAATATATAGTTTATTTTATATAGTTTATAAAGGAGATACCTTAGCTACTGTTTTAGCTCACGTGTAACCTACTTTATACGTATATTTATGTTCTGTCTAAACCATTGACACGGATTGACTTACCTGTAAATTGCTATCTGTATGTTTGTGTTCTGTCTAAACCTATCTGTATGTTTGTGTTCTGACTGAATCTCTAGCGGGGTGTTGGCTAACCTGTAAGTTGTTATCTGTATGTTTGTGTTCTGTCTGTTTTTGTTTATATGTATGTTTATGTTCTGTCTGAACCTCTAGTGCGGTGTTCACTCACTCATAAGTTACTTTTTGTATATATGTGTTCTGTTTAAATGTGTAAGTTACTTTATGTATATATGTGTTTTGTTTAAATGTGTAAGTAAGTTACTTTATGTAAACATGTGTTCTGTTTAAATGTGTAAGTAAGTTACTTTATGTATATATGTGTTCTGTTTAAATGTGTAAGTAAGTTACTTTATGTATAAATGTGTTCTGTTTAAATGTGTAAGTAAGTTACTTTATGTATATATGTGTTCTGCTTAAATGTGTAAGTAAGTTACTCTATGTATACATGTGTTCACTAACTATAAAACCAATGCTCTTCCTAATCTCTAGTATTTTGTTAGATGAAATATTTTTCCTAATCCATTTCCAAACTATCATGCCCAATGTTTTAAGGTACTGTTTGTAGGAAGTAGCTTCTTTTATTTACTCCAGGTAGGTCAGGTTCAGGATCATCACAATCACCCTGCTACTGGTATTATGTAACCCAGTATTATTTGCCTCATGCCCTGCTGCCTTGTAGATTGTAAGTGCCTTGTAAGGCTAGGAGAAACAAAGTCTGAGTTAAAAATCCCCTGCCTCAGGGCTCTTGGTTGAGTAAAGGCTAGAGATGGCGTCTCAATAAAAATACTCATCTTGGACAGATATTAACTACATCCAGCTACTGTCTTGTAGGAGGCCTATTAGGCAAAATTTTTAGGGGTAAGCTAAATAATTCTGCTAACCAGCTTTGAACTCCTTCTTCATCTATTAGGCTGGCATAGATGTAAACCTGTGTTACATTGCTTTCTGTCTAGAATGATCAATGCTGGATCTTCTTGACTCTACTTGATAGTGGCTATGCAACTCTTCCTGTTATACTCTAATGAAAGGAACAGCTCTAAAACTCAGTTTAATGGTTTTGAGGCCGGCTGGTAGTAAGTTTTTTTTATTGAACTCTGTGGTAGCTCTCAGAGAGGCTTATACCATTAACAGCTGCAAAATATCAGAGTATTAACAGTACAATGTTGCGCATGGATGGTATCTCTGTTAATGCTTTTGGTGCGCATTGTCAAGGCCACATAAGGACCCCTATGTTACAACTTAAGGTTAATTAACAGGACTGAGAAAATTGCATAGCTCATTGCTTAGGAGGCCGTGCTCTATCTATGAGTGAGTCAAGTTCTCTTTAAAACTAAATCATGCTAAAAGTAACCCAAAATATTAAACATAAAAAACCATACTCTACACCTAACTGTTTAATATATCTTTTACTAATATTTGTGGTCTGCAAAGCAACCTTCCATCAGTTGAATCTTACCTATTGCAAAATTCACCAGACTTGCTTGCTCTTAGTGAGACTAATTTAAATTCTGCTATTCTTTCTTTTGATCTCAGTGTTGATGTGTACTATCCATTGATTCGTAAAGACTCCAATAGTCACATGCTTGGCTAGAGGATATACATACACATCATTTCACCTATTTTTCATGAAATCAGGTTCGAATCCTTTGATCACTCCTTTATGTGCTTCTGTTCAGCACCTCTTCACTCTATCACCATTCTCTTTGTTCTTTATCGTTCTTCTTCTTCTTATGACTGCACTCTTTTAGATGTAATTTCTTATCAAATTGACCAAAAACAGATTGTAAATGTAGTTGGACCCGCTTTATCTGCTAAACTTGAGCCTCTTTCCCATCATCGTAAAATTGCATTTCTTTCTCTTTTCTACAAATATTATCATGGTCGCTGCTTAAAGGAGCTACCATCTCTAGTTCCATTAACTAAAACTCAATTTCGCTTGACAAGTCATTCAGCAAAGTCTCATTTTTTTACTGTATCTGCCCCTGCATGCTCCAAAAACTTTTATGCACCTAGTTTTTTTTGCCGCACTTTATTGCTTTGTAACTCTCTCCCATCTTCATGTTTTCCTGACTCATACAACTTTCAACTTTTTAAGTCTTCTTTCAACCGTTTCCTTGCTCTATAACTATTCTTTTTTTTAATAACTCCTAAATTAACAGTGGTTGCTTGCAACCCTGTTGGGAGTGAATTAGAACAAAAACAAAAAATAATTTTTTTTTAATAACTTTCAAAATTTAACTAAAAGCATTATTGATGTACCTGAAAATATATTTCTTTGCTCACAATTTCTAAAAACTCCTCATTCACAGGATATAAAGCAACTGCAAACATCAAATCTTGCCAAACCAATATACTAAAAAAAATCAAATTTGAATAATTTACATCACAAATATTTCACTAAAGTCTACTTTGAGAAATTTTTTATTTTATTTTGATAAAAAGTTTTTCTAGACATAATATCAAAGTACCATAGTATTATATAGTCAGAATTTATTTGATTTTGCTTAGGTGATTCTTTTATCTAATTTTTTAATAAAAACAATATTTATGACATAAACACAAGTACCGAACTAAATCTGCAATTAAACTTTTAGTATTAAATTAATGTTATTAAATTTGTTATCAAATAAATGTTATTAAATTTTTTACAATTTTAAATTGTTTAAATTGCCACAGGTACAAAATTAAGCAACTTAAAACTGTCACAAATTTCCATATATCAACTACGATATAAAGGGAAAGAGTAAATTCTTAGGAGAAGTTTCTTCTAGTAAATAGATCTTTACTAGAAGATCTATTTACCAGAAGTTTCTTCTGGTAAATAGATCTTTACTAGAAGATCTATTTACCAGAAGTTTCTTCTAGTAAATAGATCTTTACTAGAAGATCTATTTACCAGAAGTTTCTTCTAGTAAATAGATCTTTACTAGAAGATCTATTTACCACAAGTTTCTTCTAGTAAATAGATCTTTACTAGAAGATCTATTTACCAGAAGTTTCTTCTGGTAAATAGATCTTTACTAGAAGATCTATTTACCAGAAGTTTCTTCTAGTAAATAGATCTTTACTAGAAGATCTATTTACCAGAAGTTTCTTCTGGTAAATAGATCTTTACTAGAAGATCTATTTACCAGAAGTTTCTTCTAGTAAATAGATCTTTACTAGAAGATCTATTTACCAGAAGTTTCTTCTAGTAAATAGATCTTTACTAGAAGATCTATTTACCAGAAGTTTCTTCTAGTAAATAGATCTTTACTAGAAGATCTATTTACCAGAAGTTTCTTCTGGTAAATAGATCTTTACTAGAAGATCTATTTACCAGAAGTTTCTTCTAGTAAATAGATCTTTACTAGAATATCTATTTACCAGAAGTTTCTTCTAGTAAATAGATCTTTACTAGAAGATCTATTTACCAGAAGTTTCTTCTAGTAAATAGATCTTTACTAGAAGATCTATTTACCAGAAGTTTCTTCTAGTAAATAGATCTTTACTAGAAGATCTATTTACCAGAAGTTTCTTCTAGTAAATAGATCTTTACTAGAAGATCTATTTACCAGAAGTTTCTTCTGGTAAATAGATCTTTACTAGAAGATCTATTTACCAGAAGTTTCTTCTAGTAAATAGATCTTTACTAGAAGATCTATTTACCAGAAGTTTCTACTAGTAAATAGATCTTTACTAGAAGATCTATTTACCAGAAGTTTCTTCTAGTAAATAGATCTTTACTAGAAGATCTATTTACCAGAAGTTTCTTCTAGTAAATAGATCTTTACTAGAAGATCTATTTACCAGAAGTTTCTTCTAGTAAATAGATCTTTACTAGAAGATCTATTTACCAGAAGTTTCTTCTGGTAAATAGATCTTTACTAGAATATCTATTTACCAGAAGTTTCTTCTGGTAAATAGATCTTTACTAGAAGATCTATTTACCAGAAGTTTCTTCTAGTAAATAGATCTTTACTAGAAGATCTATTTACCAGAAGTTTCTTCTGGTAAATAGATCTTTACTAGAAGATCTATTTACCAGAAGTTTCTTCTAGTAAATAGATCTTTACTAGAAGATCTATTTACCAGAAGTTTCTTCTAGTAAATAGATCTTTACTAGAAGATCTATTTACCAGAAGTTTCTTCTAGTAAATAGATCTTTACTAGAAGATCTATTTACCAGAAGTTTCTTCTGGTAAATAGATCTTTACTAGAATATCTATTTACCAGAAGTTTCTTCTGGTAAATAGATCTTTACTAGAAGATCTATTTACCAGAAGTTTCTTCTAGTAAATAGATCTTTACTAGAAGATCTATTTACCAGAAGTTTCTTCTGGTAAATAGATCTTTACTAGAAGATCTATTTACCAGAAGTTTCTTCTAGTAAATAGATCTTTACTAGAAGATCTATTTACCAGAAGTTTCTTCTGGTAAATAGATCTTAAGAGAAGTTTCTTCTGGTAAATACATCTTAAAAAAAGTTTCTTCTAGTAAATATTACTTAAGAGAAGTTTCTTCTAATAAATACTTCTTAAGAGAAATTTCTTCTGGTAAATACTTATTAAAAGAAGTTTCTTCTGATAAATACTTCTTAAGAGAAGTTTCTTGGTAAATACTTCTATCTTGTGATTTTGTTCACTTTCTTCTTTTTTTTTTCTTGTGAAGAGAAGTTTCTCCTGGTAAATACTTCTTAAGAGAAATTTTTTTGATGAATACTTCTTTTTTCAATCTCTATTTGGTATGTTGTCCTGTTAAAATCAAACCTATACATAATCTCTATAAACTTGTTTATTATAGTTATAAATGATATGATTTTTTTAATTATTTTTTTTTTATTTTTTTTTTTTATATTATGCAATTTTTTTAATACTTATTTTTAGAATTATTGTAATTTACTAAAGTATAATTCATTGTAATTTACTAAAGTATAATTCATTGTAATAAGATACCGTTAGGTTTAGTGATTTACTTTGAAGTTTGTTTTTATTAACTAACTTTTCTAATCATTTCAAATATCTACAAATTAAGGCATCATTGATATTTGTTCAAGTTTGTCTATAAAAAATGTTTTGCTATATAGACAGCTAATGAATGCTATTTTAAATATAAAAAAATTATCAATATTTAGTGTATAAATTATCCTTAAAAGTTACTGCAAAGGAAAATTGCATTGCTTTTTAAAATCAAATTGTTTTTAGTGATGGTGAGCCAAGTTACCAACACTGCACATTTTGAAATAATTTTAATAGTTATGTTAGATATCTACCAATCATAAACTTTGTTAGATATCTACTAATCATAAACTTTGTTAGATATCTATCAATCATAAACTAGATAGCTCATGCATATGAGAAACTATGAGTAGAAAGAGAAAGAGAGAAAAAAAAGAAAAGAAAAAAAGAAAGAGTTCTTATTAAAACTAAATTTAAAAGTAATTTTTATTTCAAATTGAAGTTATGAAGTAATAAAAACTATTTTTACCATGATAAAAATTTGTTGTTATGAAGTCACAAACTACTTTTATCATGATGAAAATTTGAAGTTATGAAGTAACAAACTATTTTTACCACAATTAAAATTTGAAGTTATGAAGTAACAAATTATTTTTACCATTAAAAGTTAATCAGAAAAGCAAGGATGAAATATTTTTATTTACTAAAGGTTATTGAAATACTATTACATTGAAATGTTATTGTTAAAGAAGTTTGTTAATAAATCATATTAATACTTTCTCAATTTTTTGTTGGTTATTAAAAATAGAAAATGCATTCTTCACTGCCATGACTCTAACTAATGTAACAAATGCTTAAATTTTACTTTTTTTAATTAAAAAATATTTAGAAAAAAAAATTTGTTGAAATAAACAAGTAGGTTAAAAATTCTTTATGAAATTATTGTCTAGAAAAAGTAAAGATGTTTAAATGCATCAACTATGCATGTTTCAAATTCAAAAAACTTTTAAACATGTGTTATAGGGAGTAATTTAAATAATTTAATAAATGTGTATTTGTCAATGGTAGTAGTCACGAACTAATTTAAAATTTTCTTTATCAATAATAAAGGTACTATATAGCTATAAAAAAAATGTTCAAACTACACAAACAAATTTGTAAAAATTACAAAGAGAGAAAAAAAAACTAAATTAAAAGAAATAGAAAAAGAGTAAAGTAATATTTGTCTCCAACATTAAATTCCAGTTCTGTCATTTAAGTTCATTAGAAATATTTAAAATACATGGCAGTTTTATGAAGCCATATGAAAAAATTCAACAGTAAATTTTTGATAAAAGATAAAACTGATTAACTTTATAGTTAGCTATGTAATATTTTATTAATAGCAGAACAAGGTTGAGAACATCCAACTTTACCATTTCTGGGGAGTTTAGAATAAAACTTTATGCATGAAAAGTTATCATTATCAGACAACAAAACAAATAAAACACAAACAATTGTGATTTAATATATTGACTTGTTTATTTAAATATATCATTAATAACATTTTTATTAAAAACTTGTTAATGTGATTCTTTTTTAATTTTGTTAACAATAACTAAAAATTATTTCTAAAGTATTTATAAAACCTAAAAAGATTTGAAAAAGTATTTATAAGTTATTTAAAAACTTATGCATTGTTAAAATATAACTTTAAAATACTTAAAATTTAATGTTATCAGATAATACAGTATTATGTCATGACTACGATGTCATAACACAACTTTTAGCTAGCGACCCATTTATTTAAAACATAAAGAAAGTATGCTCAAAAACAAAAAAGAGAATTGTAAGAATTAACAAACCCTCGTTCATCTGTTAACTGATAAAAAAGGTCTTGTTCATAGATTCCTCCACCCCATACTCGCAATGCATTCATATTTGCATCCAGGGACGAGTTAATCAAATTTTCCAAAACCTCCCTAGTAACGCGCTCTTGAAAGGAATCTTTTCACAAAAAAAAATTATACAAGAAGATAATTTATTTTTACAGAATATAAAAACAATCAACTTGCAAACTTACCAGCAGGAATCCAATTGGCTCCTTTTAGAAAGATAGGTACTTTATTTATTTTGAAATAAAAACTCAAACCTAAAACAAATTTTTTTCAAATAAGTAATTAAATAAATTTTAATAAAAAATTAGAATTATTTAAAGAAAAGAAATAATAAAAATTTATCTTTTTCCAACTCACAACTAACGTTACCAAAACTATAAACTAAATTTCTAAACTTAGTTGCAAATATTTTTATGAGTTATATTTTAAATGAGTTGTTATATCTTATACATTCATGCAACATTTATGCAACATACCTTCTGAACCCTCAATTGGCTCTTGAATTAACTCTACTTTGCGAAAACCAAATTTAACTTCCTTATGAGTAACCAATGATATAACAGGATGTATTATGTCTACCTTTAATAATTGTATAAGCAAATGTACTATTAAAAAGTTTTTTTAATTTAATGTAATTTAGTTTTATTACAAAACATTGTCTTCTTCATTATCATTTGACTGGGAGGTTTTCAATTAACTGGATTAGCTGGGTAATGTGGTTTAACTGGATGGTGTAATTTAACTGGATGGTGTGGATTAAATAGAAAGTGTGGTTTAACCAGGTGATGTGATGTGACTGGGTGGTGTGATTTAATTGCATGATTGTGTGATGTTGTTTAACTAGGTGGTGTGATTTAGCTGAAGCCAGAAATTTTTATTAAAAAAAAGAACAATAAAATTAGGGTTGTTAACCGGAGGATTTATTCTAACATAACATTCTAACATAACATTCTTTCATAAGGAGATTGAGAACCCGGAATTACATTTTTTCGTACCGAATGTTACAAAACATTTAAAATCGCCGATGTTCATTTCGCTAAAGCCACTTCCGAAATTTAGCATTTCGCAAGTTGACATACGAAACAAAACTATTTTGCAACATATGAAAGTAGCAGTTTCGGAAGTCGCACTTGCGAAACAAACATTTTCGTCAAAAGACGTTTTGAAGTCTATAAAGAAAATTTGTTTGCCAGACTGATTTTAATTGTAAAAATTAACATCTTTAAATCCCAAAATGTTTATAATGAGTTTTTATTTTCAGTATAATAACATATTAAATTTTTATGGTTTTATTTTTAGAAATATTGATAAAAAATAAAATTTCTTTCGAAATGAAAGTATTTCGGATCACAACATACGAAAGAATTCTTAACGGAAATAAACTTACGAAACGTGCTATAATAAATATATACAACGATGTTTTTTGAACTCATTACGTATATTAAAAATAAGAATGATGGGTAGGAATATACATGTTTTTTTTTTTAAAGCATATGAAATTTTTGAAACAGGTTCGAATATGCTTAAGCAAATAGTAAAAAGAGGCTCAAAAATATGCTTTAGCTTAAGCATATTTCTGATAAAATATACCTATTTCAATAATTTCTAAAAGTGTGCACGTTACTAAAGTTCTAGCAGATTTTAAAGGTATGTAGAGTCCTGTTTGAATACGCTTTTCGAAGTATCGATCTTAGAAAATATTGTTTTTTAATTTTAACAAGATATAAATTTAAGTATAAGATTGTACAGTTCAATCAGTTAGATACGTGACAATTCGCCGCAGAGATCCGGGTTCGCAACCCGCAGTCATTGTAACTTTTGTTCATTAAACTCTTTTTACTTAAGATAGCATTTTTTGACCTCCATGTTCTATATTACAGATCTTTCGTCACCTTCACAATAGTGACAACCTCTCTTCTGTTAGTTATTCTTTTAAGATTGAGTTCATTGTGCTTAATTCAACACGTTTCCCTTGCTTTACTAAGTTCTACTTAAATTATGATGAAATGTACGTAAAACAACTTTTTCAAATAATATAAATCATTTTGCTTTAAATCTTTTGTTTTTTGTACTAGACATCTGTCCTAAATACTTTGTAATAATTTCTAGGTAACTCTGAGTCTAATATAACCATTTCTGAATATAATTTCCCTGAGGCTCCTACAGCCTATTGTGTTCCATTAAAAGTAACTAGTTTTTGAGTCCAGATATTAATTATAAGCATCTAAAGGTTCACATTACTATTCATTTTCCTGATATATAGAATCCTATTTGCATACATATCTCTTTCTGTAAATTCTGTTTTATATAGTTTCTTAATTATATATTAAATAAATATTACTATTCACTTAGTTGAATGAACGTATAGCTCATTCAGTTAAGACATTTGGCCGCGTAGACCCAGGTTCACATCCCATATATATATATATATATATATATATATATATATATATATATATATATATATATATATATATATATATATATATATATATATATATATATATATATATATACAGTTTAAATAATAAATAATAAAATTATAAAAAAATGTCAAATGATTCTTCAAATGTTTATACAAATATACCTAATATATATATATATATATATATATATATATATATATATATATATATATATATATATATATATATATATATATATATATATATATATATACATATATATATATATATTAGGTATATTTGTATAAACATTTGAAGAATCATTTGACAACATTTTTTTATAATTTTATTATTTATTATTTAAACTGTTAACAGCTAATATCTTAAATATATCGTAACATAAAATCTTTTGCATCTTTTTCGTAACTACACATTCCGGAATGCTTTTTCCGAAGGAACTATTTTGTAAGTACTCTTACAAAATGATTTGTTTCGCAAGTTTTCTTTTGCAATGCTTTATTACGGAATTTTATTTATTATTTATATTTTTGTATGGCGCGTTACGGAATGTGCATTTTTGCATGTGCAACTTCCGCAATAATAATTCTATTACGGTAGATAAAGATGCGAAATTTTCGCAAGTTTTGTTTTTCGGCGAACAACCCTAAATAAAATTGCTTCACTGCTGCAAATAGTATATTAGTAGCAGTGAAGCCACAAGCAGCAAGTCTAGAAGCCAATTATCTCTGTAACAACATACTTTGTCATGTTACATTTGCTAGATTCATGTCTTCTTGAACCAGTGGTTTCTTTTTTACCTGCAGCCAATCTGTGACTAATCAAGAATTGTGTTAAGAGGCAAATCAGGCCACTTAAAACAATTCTTAACGCAATTCTCAGGCAAATATTTATTTACCAGCATAACGATGTTCCTAAATGAATGAGACCAACAACAGTAAATGAATGAGACCAATAACAATAAATGAATGAGACCAACAACAATAAATGAATGAGACCAACAACAATAAATGAATGAGACCAACAACAATAAATGAATGAGACCAACAACAATAAATGAATGAGACCAATATCAATAAATGAATGAGTCTAACAACTTAATTATATAGTTATTAATGTAAATTTGATTATTGAGCCCAATCTACTTAGTTTAAACTGATCAAAACCCAATCTACTTAGTTTAAATTGATTTTAACAAATGTCTAAATACAAGCCAAAAACACTTTGAGCAAATAATTTGCTTTGTCGTAATGCTAACATTATCAGCTATCCCAAATTAGTTATTGAGTAATTTTTAAATGTTCATTATTTTTACAAAAATAATGAACATTCTAAACATAGTTTAGAACAAATTAAAGTTGATGAGTGGTTTTCAAATGTACATTTTTTTAGAACAAATTGAAATCTTTTCGTTAACAATAAGATTAAAATTTTTATATTTTACTCAACAAAACAAAACAGATTTATAACCATAAACTCTTCACATTGTGGTTTTTGAAACTCAAGACCTCTTTTTTTGCATGTTAATTATTTATCTACAGCTGATTTGCTAACAGTAATAACCCATTAGATTTATGGTGCATCAGAAAAAAGTGGAGAGGTTAAGGCTATCGCTTTTGACATTTCTAAAGTTTTTGATAAAGTTTGGCATGTTGGTCTTCTCCATAAGCATTCTTCTTATGGTGTATCAGGTAACATCTTTAAGATTATTGAATCTTTTCTTACCAATCATAGTATAAAAGTTGTCCTCGATGGACAGCACTCTTCTTCATAATCCGTAACTTCAGAGGTTCCTCAAGGTTCTACCTTTGGCCCAATACACTTTTTAATTTATATTAATGATATTCCAGATATTCTCACATCTAAGGTGGCATTGTTCTCTGATGGAATACTATTGCCATATCTGGGGGGAAGGGGATCTTCCAATGATGGCCTTTTCTATTTAAGACAAGGTGCAAAAGTGCATTATAAACATAGTTGGACCTGTTCTTGCAGCCAACCTTCAATCATTATCACATTGTCGTAATGTTATTTCTCTTTCTCTTTTCTACAAATACTATAATGGGCACTGCTCTAAAGAACTGGCGTCTCTTGTGCCATTTACTAAAATTTATTCTTGTGTTACTTGTGATTCAATCAAGTCTCATCCTTTTTCTGTGACTGTTCCTAAATGTTCCAAAAACTCTTATTCATCTAGTTTTTTTCCTCAAACATCAGTTCTTTAGAATTCGCTTCCTTCATCTTTGTTTCCTGATTCATACAATTTGTAATCTTTTAGTTTGGCTGTCAATTGTTATCTTGCTTTATAAACTTCATCTTTTCTCTTCCAGTAACTTCCAACTCTAATAGTGGTTGCTTGCAGCATTATTGGAAGCAAAGATGTTGAAAAAAATGTTTTTAACTAATTTCTTCTTATCTCACAATAGCTCACTATAAAATAGTTGATCTAGAGCAAAATTTAGCCAAAAAGAAGTTTATAAATAATGTACTTTTGTTAAATTCAGCAAAGACAAAAAAGATATTGAAATAAATAGTGGTTAAAAGATAGAGGGTGATGGTAAGTTTTGTTATATTTGAGGCGCAATAGTATCAGCAAAGGTCTACCTGGGCTTAAATCAGAATACTATATTTGTAACAGCATCATTAAAAATTAAAGTAGAGCTATACACTACATGCATCCTAATTGTTATAATATATGGCAGAGAAAAATGGGCAATAAAAGCTAATGATGACCAGTGTTGTGAATTAACAGAAAAAATAATGATCAGATGGATATTTTGCATATTTTTAAAAGATAAGAAAAAAGTTATTGGGAATATTGAGAATACCTGATAAAGTGTGTCAGAGAATATTAAAGAGGTTTGGTCATTTAGAGCATAAAGATGTAGGTGATTGTATTAACATGTAGAGAGATATAGAGAGAGATAGCAGTAGAGAGAAAGATAGCAGCTTCAAAATAATAAGATAGAGGTAGAATTTAAAAACTTAGAGAGCGTGCATTACAGATGTCATAAAAACGCTTCAGTTAAAGAAGCGTTTTTATGACATCTGTAATGCACGCTCATCATTCATTTGTAAATCATTTGTAAGATAGATATATATATAGAAAAACATAGAAACATCTATCATTTGTAAGATATGTACAACACAGTGGAAAACTTATTATGTGAACTTGTTTTTCCTTGCGACATTGTAAATTATATGACTGCTGTGGTAATCATAAAAAATGAACACAGAACACTCAACTTAATTTCCACTTAACACTTTTTCTATTTTCATCAAGTAATTCTGGAAAGACAATGAATTGAAAGAATATTGGAACTAATATTACTACAAGCATTGACAGAGTAAATATTAGAACTGCCTTTTTTAGAAAAAACATTTTAACTGTTTTCATTATTCCCCTTGTCTTATTGGATGATCACATTTTGCACAACTTATAAGCCAATTCGCTATTGAGTTTTTCTCGTTCTTTATCATTACACTTCCAACTCCTCTTTTCATATTGTTTTTTTTCAAATGCCTTTTCAAAGTAGTCTTAGGTAGTATTTTTATGATACAAAATAAACTTATAAACTATTTTTTCTTAAATCTGTTAGACCTACCTTTAATGTCATAGTAGAATATTAAGTGTAAGTTTTTTTAACTGTGTTAGCTTGAGTGTGTAAGCTTGAGTGTGTAAGCTTGAGTGTGTTAGCTTGTGTGTGTAAGCTTGAATGTGTTAGCTTGAGTGTGTAAGCTTGAGTGAGTTAGCTTAAATGTTTTTAACATTACACCACAAGAATAAACTTTGAAAATGCAGAAAAATTAAATTATTTTTTTGGGTAAACAAAATAATAATTTAATTGTTTTAATTGATTGTTATGAAAATTATTTTAGAGATTATATTTAAACATAAAAACTTGTTTAGTGCTTATGATACCTCCATTTAAACATTAAAATGTCATAAAAACTTGTTTAGTGCTTATGATACCTCCATTTAAACATTAAAACATAAAAACTTGTTTAGTGCTTATGAAGCACTATGCAATTTTATGACAGAAAAAAAAATTTTTACCAAATAATTAATCCAAAAGTAATTCAGATTAACTAGTAGTAGCTGGATAACTAACCAATAAATAACGAGGGAATTATGAACTAATCAGACCTTAAAAATTGATATAATATAAGTGATGTGGTAAAAAATTGAAAACTAAAAAATTAAAGTACTTTTTCTTTCCATTCAAAATTAGAAATTGAAAAAAAAATTACTAATATGCATTTAGAAATGTGTTCATGTCAAAAAAAAAGATACAGAAATGATTAAGGGGAGAATAAATTGATTTTCTAATTTTAAAATTTGTCTAAATTTTTAAATTTGGAAATGAAATTTCCAAATTCAGACAATCAGAATCTATAATGAATTTATTGAGTGAGAAATCAATTGTTTACCTTATATTTATAATAAAAGGTAAACACATAATAAAAATTTTAAAAAATGTATTACTAATTATATTGATAATATAATACTTAAAATAATAATAATTCATAAAACAATAATAATGTATAAATTAGGATTACTTGAGCAGTATAAAGCACTTGTTTTCCATATCCAATTGGCCACCACAACTCTACTTCCGTATCTTGAACTTCAATAGGTTCCAAAGTAATTTTGGACTGATCATGATGTAATTCCAAAACCTGCTTTTTTTGAAATTTGCCAAAACCATAAACAGCTAATGCTTCTTTTATACTACTTCTAATGATTACTTCTAAAACAACTTGCCAGGTGTTTTTATCTGAACAAAAGGTTTTATGCCAAATTAATCAACAATATCACTTGCCATCTTAAATTTGAGGCACACAAATATATAAACTATTATAGGAAGAAATTCTAAAAGTTAGAAATATTTAAATGTCATCTTGTCAATTAATTTAACAGTCTCAAATTTCAACATATTTACAAATTCATTAAAACAAATTGTTTTTAAGAAGATCAAACACCAGAGTCAGATTTTTTAGTATTTTAGTAACCCTGACACTAAAAATTTAGTAACCCTGACACTAAAAATTTAGTAACCCTGACACTAAAAACTCTGATTTGTATTTAGTTACCAGTACACAACATTTCTTGTATTATTGATTCTAATTTATTTCACAAAATGTTGTAGGAAACTTGTACCTAATGTTTTTTCTAATTTGTTCCTTGAATTATTGTGTAAAACTTGTTTACACACTACATTTCGTGAGCACAATTAAATATTTTTATGAAAAAAAGGTGTCAACCACACTTTTAACATCATTTTAAGGTTACCCCTTTTAATAAAGATTTATTATTAAACAGCCATCTTTGTACAATCTTTTATAGTTTGTTATCCTCCTTTCAACCAAGATTTACTAAATAACCATCTTTGTTTGTTTGTACAACATTTTTAGGTTTGCTACTCCATTTCAACCAATATATACAACTAAACAACTACCTTTGATTTTCCCTTTTAATTGCAAATACAGAATTTTAATTGAAAAGAGCTGAACACACCAATCAATCTCAAGGAAATAGTCAAAAAAAAGCACCATGATCAAAAGTGTTAAATGGTTAAAGACAAAGAGCCCAGTAGTAGTAGAAAGTTGAAATGTCTCAACTGCAACTTTTCATAATACTAACTCAGATAACGCTTTTGACAAATTATTTTGATTTATATTATTGATGACAATCAGATGACAATCAGATGACAATCATGATGACAACCATAATGACAATCAGATTTATTTGATTTAGAAACTGTTCTCAGAGGGTGCACTCAAGGTCATTTACTGTTGAAATTTAAACTTTTATTCAACAAGAATATTTTTTAGAAAATAGTCAACAATGAACATGGAATTTTTATCTTCACTTTTTTTTTCACTTAAAGGGCAGGAGCTAACTAAGTTATTGGAAGGCTGTTAACATCAAAATCTAACCCTGCTATACCTTATAGTTAATGATGTTATTGGAGGAATTTTTTTTAATATTAAAAATAATAAAAAAAAATTATCCAATCATAACAAGGGTAAACAAATAAGTTTACTTTTATGATAAATAAGGTTTTATAGAACATTGTTTTATCTTTTATAGATTATTGTTTATGGATATGATTAAAACTATACCATGTTTCAGACCTTGACTATAGCATATGTCAAGTATATTTTGGAGATCTTTGGTTAGGATTGGCTTTATAAAATTCCATTTAGTTTTATAATAAATGATGTATGCCAAAATTATATAAATTTTTTTAGTTTGTATGTGAATTTTATAAAACAATTAACAATATTCATTTTATAATAGGTCATGTTAGAAGGTGTTTTATAAAAAACACATGGTAAAGTTCCCATTCTGCGGTATTCTAAGGTAGCAACATGGATTTTGTTTTCAATGCCCCTCCCTCTAATAATTATTTTATAAAAAAATGATCTTAAAAAGATTAATTTTTTAGTTAAATTTATCAAGTGCTACTAAAAAGAAACAGTTTTGATATCTCAAATTAGTTTTTTCCCCTACTTAAATCCATGTTTTTGAATTACATATTCATACAGGTTTGTAGCACTAAAACATGGATTGTCAAGTCAAGCACACTCAGATATAACACATAATAAAATATTAACATAAACAATTATTATTATCACTTAAATAATTGGGAACAATGATTAAAATTTAAACTTATTTGAATTTTTTGAGACAGCTTAAGTTAAAATAAGTTTAAATTTTAAGCGTACAAATATACAAACCAATGGCTTGTATATTTCACATACCCACAGTTTATTTAAAAATAAAAAATTTAAGAAGAAACTAAAACTTAGGAGAACAGAAAAATTCAAAACTTAAAATGTTCAAAAATTAAAAGGTAACTAAACCTTTTTGCTGATATCTTTGATTCTGTTAATCTTTGATCAACTTTTTTTATTAAAAAAAACATATTTTAATATAACATAATATATATATAATATATTACATAAAATTATATAGTTCTATATACAGATCGAGTTCAATCCCCACCATGTCCCTGGTAGTACCGCGCTCGACTTGTTTCTCCACACAGCGGCCTTGTTTGTTGAGGTTTGTGTTTCAGAGTTATAGAGTTGTGAGAGGGTTGTAACCACAAAAAGTAGCCTCCTCAACTGTAGTGTTCTTCTCGTCTTTGAGGAGGTTAATAATTAAACAAAAAAAATATGTACATAATATTTTATATTGAAGAATATTTGATGTCTCAAAAACTCAATAAGTTTTTCATAACATTTATAAAAGTTATCAAATTGAAAACAATTTTACTGCAAGACCAAGAGCAACTTTGAAAAATTATTTTAGTATTACAAATTTTTAATACTAATTTGAGTCGTTTAAATATAAAAATTTTGACTTGATTTGCCAAAGTTTTTACTTACACTCCTTACGTTTATTGCCTTGTTTTCATTAGGTTGAATTTTTAAAATGCTGCAAAATATTTACATTTAAATCTTTTGAAATACTTTTGAAGAAAAACTGCTATCATAGTTTAGAAGAGAGGGAATCAGGTATATGTGATTGTTTGTGACAGGAGTGAAGGGGTTAAAAATTGATAAATATAGGGTGATATGCTTTATGGATGACTCATAATAGCATTTACAAACGATTTGTTTTACTAGGACAAAGATAAATAAAGTTCTAACTGATTTTTTTATATTAGGATAATAGCAAATTAATTTTTTTCCTCCTATTGTCTAAATACAAATATTTAAATAATTCTTATTTTAATTTATTTATGTGTATTTATGTCAAATAAAGTAAGAATACATAAACAAATAGAAAGCAATAATATAAATAATTTTATAATTAATTATATAACTAATTATAAATAATTAATTTTATAACTAAACATAAATAATTAACATTAAAAAAAATAAAAGATTTTTTTCTAAATTCTCTTAATATAAAAAGTTCCAGTTAAAACCTTGCCAACGAAATAATAATTACTTAATGACATAATTCATTTTGTTAACCAAAAGCGCCAGAACTTAAGAAAATATTTGTAGTTTTAACTTACGTTACACAAATTTAATATAAATTATGCTCTAACTAAGCATCGTTATTCAAAACTTTAAATGCAAAAATGTTACATTTAATACTTTCGCATATATTATTAAAAAACTTGAGTTTTTTAACTAAATTTTATAACAATCAAAACTTTATCATGTTTTTGTTAACTAAAGTTACATGAAAATTGCTAAAGTTCATTCATTATTTTCTTAGAATATATATATTTTATAAAGTATAAAATCTGACCAACAACAATTTGAACATGTTAGCTCCATTTTCACGCTAATTTAATTCCTATTATGCAAATAAACTCATGATTATAATAACATTTTACAATGATGTCTTTTTTATCATGCGACGAGAAAAACCATAACTTTCGGAAGCATAAAAATGACTTTAAAAAATTAATCTTAGTATATTTTAAATAAACTTTTATGTGTCTACATCAATATTCACTCCCTAAAAGTTGAAGAAAAATAGAATAAAATTTGACTACTTTTTCATTTTGCGCCGTGGAATCGCCCATATGTGTATATATATATATATATATATATATATATATATATATATATATATATATATATATATATTGCAAAATTAGCATCTGCTAAGGTTGCATCTCTTTATCGAGCTCGACACTTTCTTACTCCAGATTCTATTCTCTATCTCTATAAATCTCAAATCCGTCCCTGTATGGAATACTGTTGCCACATCTGGGGCGGATCTTCTAATGATGCTCTTTCTCTTTTAGACAAGGTGCAAAAACGAATTGTAAACATAGTTGGACCTGCTCTGGCAGCCAATCTCCAACCTTTGTCACATCGTCGTAATGTTGCTTCTCTTTCTCTTTTCTACAAATACTATAATGGGCACTGCTCTAAAGAGCTAGCTTCCCTTGTGCCATCTACTAAAATTCATTCTCGTGTTACTCGCCATTCAATTAAGTCTCATCCTTTTTCTGTGACTGTTCCTAAGTGCTTCAAAAACTCTTATTCTTCTAGTTTTTTTCCTCGAACATCAGTTCTTTGGAATTCGCTTCCTTCATCTTGCTTTCCTGATTCATATAATTTGCAATCTTTTAAGTCATCAGTCAATCGTTATCTTGCTCTACAGATTTAGTCTTTTCTCTTCCAGTAACTTCCAACTCTTATAGTGGTTGCTTGCAGCCTTGTTGGAAGTGAAGATGTTAAAAAAAAATATATATATATATATATATATATATATATATATATATATATATATATATATATATATATATATATATATATATATATTAATTATTCACCTCCCCAAGGCCTGAGGGGGCCACTACAGTTGAGGAGGCTACTCATTTTTTTTTTTTTTTTTTTTCATAAATCGTGGTACAACCCTCTCTCAACTCTTTAACTCCAAAACACAAACCTTGACAAGCAAGGCCGCTGCGCAGAGAAATTAAGTTGAGCACGGTTCTTCCAGGAACATGGTGGGTGTTGAACTCTGAACCTCTCGCTTACAAAGCCAGCGCTCTTACCATTACACCACTACCCCATTTAAAATATATATATATATATATATATATATATATATATATATATATATATATATATATATATATAATATATATATATATATATATATATATACCTTTTTTAATGGGAATCTGCAGTATTTGTTGACAGACAATCAAACGCACTTAAATTTCACATGTGAGAATCTGCTTATTGAGTACTTCATGAACAAATATTGTATGGATGCACAAAATATTCAAACTTTGAAGTATGAAATTTAGAACTTGGCAAAATTAGGGTAAAAATTGGATTAAAAGAGACTTGTCTTAACATTTATTACAATATTGAGAAAGACTCTAAGACTGGACCAATAAGTGGACTAATATTTTAAATATACAAAATAGCTCCTGATTATTTAGACCATGCATTAGCAATGCATTTAAAGTTCATTATATTAATATTAGAGATGCATTACTTAAAATGAACTACAAAGTACTCATTACAACCAGACTCCAATTTCAATCTTAACTTTAGCTGTATATCATCAATGCCATTCAAAAGAATTTTTGTATGGGTAATGACTGAAAAAGTTTGAAAATAAATATATAGCAAAAATATATATTTAAATTTGTATTTACGGAAAATGTTTCGGAAATCAGGAAAAACATTTTGCATACAAAAGAAAAGATAAGTCCTTTAATAGTATAGAGCAATTGCAAGAAACCGTTCAAAAAGTTATATTTTTAGATTATTATTATATAGTTAGATCCCACAATATTGACTCAAAATATACGACAAAGACAAAGTAACAACAAAGTAACGACAGCATCACAATTTGTACAGGCAGCAAAAAAAATGGATATCAAAGTTATTTTGGTTTATGTTGATGAAATTCAAAAACACAATGAAGTGATTGGATTGTCAAAAATAATTTCCTTATAGAAATCGTTACTTAAGTTTAAGATACTACAAAAAAAAGAAAAATGTTAAAAAAAATTTTTGTAAAAAAATTGCATCTTATTAGATTTAATCAGGCTTTGCTACGAGATTTTATTGCATATCGAAAACGCATAACGCCAATAAATGTAACTTTAACAAAGCTTTGATATTAACATTGTTAAAAGTTAGTTTGTGTCATTAGCATATTTTAAAGTACCATGTAATAATAAAATATTCAACAGCGTTAAAAATCAGCGTTAAATCATTAAAAAGCGTTAAAAATCAGCGTTAAAAATCAGCATTAAAAATCATTTAACTATTATAAGAAAACAATTTTAAAATATTTTCAACATTACTTTCTTTTCTTTTTTTTTTTTTTACTGTAAATAATAATTTATTAATCTGATCTAATTATTATTTTGATGTATTGCAAAAATGAATCCTGAAAAAAGAAATTAAATCGAAAATAATATAAATGAAAACTTTGGTATTTGAAAAAGATTATACTTCCTTATAATTTATTTCCTAAAACAATCTTATAGTTAACATAATCTTTTGTTTGTTTATCACAACTTATCAATTTTTTTTAATGTATTTAATGAAATATTTTTAATAAAGATTGTAAACAATTATAATAGATTTTATCAGTTACCAGTAAGATGTTCGGAAACATAGTTTATATTCATAAAGAAATTATGTTTACAAATAAAGTCAAAAGAACACCATTATTTTTTCTGAAGGTTCTACATACTAATATAATGATATATGTAAAAAAAATCAACTTTTTAAAAATTGCCCATGTTGAGTTATTATAAAACCAATATGGCAACAAAAGTGAAATACCCTAAAATAACATGTATTTGAACCCCTAAAACCTAATGTGGGCAAATTTTTTTGTTTTTTCAATTGCATCATTGGAAAGAGCTTCTTTTACACTTCTAGAAAAAAAAAATCATGTTGGAGAAATTTTTTCTATGAACAAAAAAAATTAGATCAATATATAGATTTTTTAAATTTACGATTTTGAGATAAACATAAGGATTTATCAAACTGCATTAAAAACAAAGTTTGTTCTAACAAAAATCAACCCGTGGGGGGTTGGGGGTAGGGGACTCTGAAAGTCTAACAAGTTGTTAACTACTACTATTACTACTACTACTACTACTACTACTACTACTACTACTACTACTACTACTACTACTACTACTACTACTACTACTACTACTACTGCTACTACTACTACCTTTACTGCTACTTCTACATAATAATAGAAAATAATAATTATAATAATAATAACAAATATTATTAATAATTATTATTTGATATATTTTTACTTAGTTAAAATAAAAATAAATAAATATATAGACCCGTTGGATAATAATATATATATATATATATATATATATATATATATATATATATATATATATATATATATATATATATATATATATATATTTGAACAAAATTAGTACCATCATTATGTGTAAGATGCACCAAAAATTCATCAATGAAAATGTCTTCAAATGAAATTATAATGCTTTTCCTTTAAAAAATTAAATAATGTTATAAAACATATACTAAATTATACATAAATAAATAAAAAACTATAGTTAAAGTATAGCAGATAGAAAATAAAATAAAGAAAAATGTATACCAAATTCCAATAGTTGGAAAAGAAGGCCCCCAATCCTATTAAATTAAAAATATAAAGTATCATCATATCATCACATTATCATCATATTAACAAAAAATATGACTAAATATAATATTAAAATACAAAAAAAAAAATACCACATGACTAGTTTTGTATAGTTCCGAAGCCATAACTAGAATGACTAACTAACTTTTCTTTATATCTCAGCATTTTAAACTTTCATAAAATTCTAAGATTTTAAATTTTCACTATTATAAATTTTTTATAATGGTCAAACTTAAAACTTTTACTTTGCTGTAAAATAGGTTTGATAGCATAAATAATATTAAAATACCTTCTGGCTTAGGTACTCTATATGTGACCATGATATAGATTTGGTTATGAACAAAAATATTTTTTTAAGAAACATTACATGACCAGTCATAATATATTATTTTTTACATTGTAAAAAGAATTTTACAAAACTATGTTGAGAATATTTGATAATTATCATTATCAAAAATTCCTGACATAAATGGAATAAACATACCCAACTAAAGGAACATTGCTCTTTGCGAATAAAATTTTGATGACTTCGACCATGCTGTGCTTTAGGAGCTAACACAGGTGGAATTTGATAACCATAATTGTGAAAATAATATTCACTTTTATTAGAACTGTATAATGTGGGTGAAAAAAACACAAGCTTTAATGAATTTTGAAGTTTTATTTGTTTTTTTATAGAAAATGCATAAGCAAGAAACATATTTTCAGTTCTTCCAATAAATTCGTTGTTTAAGAAAATATCGCAAACAGTATCCAACCCATAAAATGTAATGATGGCACTTTGTGAATCCAATAATGAAGATGAAACTATCAAAAAAAGAAATATAATTAATAATTTTGACAAAAAAATAATTTCATAAACATATTACCAAAATAAGCATGTTTTTGAATCAAATAACTTTAAAAATAGTATGCAATGATAATCAATGCATGTAACACAATTATAGAATTTAAAAAACTTTTGAACTTAAAACAAATTAGTTAACATTAATAAAAAACTTTTGAATAAGGTTTGTTTATAGTTGTTTAAAATCATGGAAATTAGAATGATCAGGTTTGTAGCTAAGCTTAGAAAAACAATTTCTTAATGACAATCCACTGTAACTTGAAAATTAGAAAATTTGTCATTACAAATTGAAGAGTCTCATGATTTTTAATAATGATGAACTGTAAAAAATAATAAATTTCACCATATTTTAATTTAAGAGAATAATTTTTAAAGATTTTAAAAACCATTTTTTAGCTAAATATAAAGTCGATGACTTGAATTCAATTTCAATACTCTATTTAAACATTAAAAAAGTGAAAATTGTTTGTGAACATGTTTATCGAGTTTCTGGTTTCAGTTGAATTTCTAGTTTCAGTTGAATTTCTAGTTTAAGTTATAAATCTTAGAAAAATAACAGATTATCTTGAAACAAATATATGTAAAAATAACACAAAATCATTTTGACAAAAAAAAAATTTAACAAATTCTATAAAGATAGTTTATCACATAGTTGAAAAGAGTAAAATGCCTCTATAATAACCATTTAAAATGTCTTTATATGGCAGACTACTTTGAACATAACGCAAAAAAAAACATCCATTAGTAAGTTGAAGCTTGTGAATAAGATTAAAAAACTTTTTTTTTTTTAACTCTTCTTCTATTTTATATTTAAAATAATTTTCAAAAATTAAAGTTTAAATAAAGTTTTTAAATTTTAATTCTTTGACATTATTATCAATTAACAGACGCATGTTTTTTGTTGTTGTTGTTACTTAAAATATTGTTTTTATTATTATTATTCTTTACTTTTTTTTATTGTCTTCAACTAATTTACCTTTATTAAGTACATTTACTCAAATAGCTTTTTTTGTTTGTGTTAAAGAATGCTGGTTTACTCTAGTGTGCCCCTTTTTTTATAAACAACTAAGAATTATATAAAGAAATACATTTATAAATTAAAAAAAGTAGAAAAAATTAGAAAATTGTGAGAGAAATGTGCTCTAATTTGTTAAAATTATAAAAATTTAAAGTATTATACATCAACAAATTCTTATTCAATAAAAGTGCAATTGAAAATAAAGTGTGTGGTACTAGCAGAAAAATACTAAAAATATAAAAATTAAACATCAAAAAATTGCGAATCTATGCAGATATAAAAAAACAAAAAAGACTAGACATACACAAAAAAAACAAAAACAAAAGAGGGTAAACTGTAATAATTGCCGTCATCAACTCTTTGTTAAAAATAGAACTGACAAAAGAAGTTTAATTACTACGGAGAATAATTTACAGGTTTTTTTTAAAGAAGATTTCATAGCGGAATTTTTGAATTTATTTTGATAGTAATGCACAAATAGAATTTTCTATTAACTGTAATTTTTGAGACTAATGTCCTTTCAGAAGATTTAAAAAACAAGAACAAGAACAATCTAATGCGCAATAGAACTTTTTTGTTATAATGGTGAACAAGTAAACAATAAAACAAGAAGATCAAAATCTGTACTATCAATAAGTTGTTATTCATAAGATGACATATTAGAAATTTGTTAATTTAAAATCCAAAGGCTATGCTATTAATAAGGAGACTGATTGTGAAGTTAGCAGGTTTAATAAGGAGACTGGTTGTGAAGTTAGCAGGTTTAATAAGGAGACTGGTTGTGAAGTTAGCAGGTTTAGAGCAATCTCTAGAATTTTTAAATATTGAAACCATAAATGTCAATTTATAGCAGGCAGAAAAAATAAATTCATTTAAACACTTGTTAAATAGTTTAGAGAGTATGAAGAGATTTCTAGAAAACACTTTTGTAAGACTGTTTTTGTAAAAAATATTCTAGATATTGTTCGCACCATAAGCTATCAAAGAGCTTAAGTGAGAAATAACTTTAGCTACAAAAGCAATTTAGATGTCTAAAAATTGACTAACCATTGGGATGACAGGAAGATTGTAGTGATTCTAGAGGTGAACTAGAGGTCTTTGCAAAGAGTTCTGCTTTATCTTTGAAGAGGTAATAAGGTCAGATTACAGATATCAATATATAATCAATTGAACATTTATAAATATGACTAATAAATATGGAACTAGTGGGACTCGAAGGTCCAAAAAAAATGGTGGTGGAACCAAAAAACAAGATGGAGGACAAAAAATCTAATTGAAAGATGAAAAAATATATACATGTGAATTATGTGAAAATATTATTAAGGATGAAGAGGAGGATTGTATTTGTTGTGATAACAAAAAACGTAACAAGTGGTTCCATAAGGAATGCAGTAGAGTTTCTGATGAATTCAAAATTATTTATAAAAAAAACTGTAAGTTATTGTAATGATTGTGCCAATCTTATTGAAAGTATTGTGGAAGGTAAAATATTTATCAAAAAAATATTTATCAAAAAGTAATATTTATCAAAAAGAAAATAATGAAATAATCTTAAGTATTCCAAATCAAAATAAAAATTTAAACAAAGAAATCAAGGAACATATCGTCATTAATACAACATTACAAATTCAAAATCAAAATCTAAAAGAGGAGGAAAAAATTATAAACAAAGAAAAAGAAGTACTATTGAAAATGTACAGCTGTATATATTCCAAGATACTTTATATATTTTGATGGAAAAAGTTTTTTACCGTTAATTTTAATTTTAATGTGATCAATAGTTTTTTGACGGGAATGAAAAATAATGTATTCAGTTTTATTGACATTCAAGGAAATACGGTTACTATTTAACCAGTTACATAAGCGATGAAGATCTTGATTATTTTTTTTACAAAGAGTTGTGAGGGATTTGTTGATATATAAAAGATTGGTATCGTCAGCATAATGATGTATCATAGAATTTTTTAATGAACAAGATAAATCATTTATATATAATAAGAACAACAACAGTCCAAGAACGGAACCTTGTGGAACGCCATATTAAATAACTTTATGTGTGGATTTAAATCCATTAATTGAAACAAACTGAGTGCGATCCGTAATATATGAAGAAAACCAATGATTAGCAATACCACGTATTCCGTAGTAGTTTAACTTTTTTATTAGAATGTTGTGATCAACCGTATCAAAAGCTTTTTGAAGATCAATGAATCTGGCTTCTTAATGCAAAATTAAAAATTTTTAGACAAACATTTAATATTTCTGTATTATATAATCACCTCAATTTTCTGCAGTATCTTTTTTGGATTTTGGGGACAAATGGGTAAATAATATTAGTGCCAAGTATAAGAATTCAAAAGAAATTATACATAGTGAAAAAATAAAACTAATCATGAGTTTGTTTGCTGTAATCAAAAAATTCATTTTGAAAAGAAGACATCTAAATTCAAATTCAAATTTCAGTACTAACAATACAAATTGAAAAAAAAATTATTAAATGTTATAATGAGATAGATTACAAAAAATTAAGTGAACTGATTATGGATGCTTATAAGAATAGTAAGAAGCGTCAATCTAATACAAAAGATGTAAATAAAATGGCTGAAGTACTTATACAAAATATTCAAACATGTAACAATAAATAAGTCAAAATGAAAGAAGTGAAGAGCAACAATAAAAAAAAATTGTGGAAGGATTATACATTGATAAAAATGGTGGAAGCATTATACATTGATAAAAATGGTGGAAGAATTATACATTGATAAAAATGGTGGAAGGATTATACATTGATAAAAATGGTGGAAGGATTATACATTGATAAAAATGGTGGAAGGATTATACATTGATAAAAATGATGGAAGGATTATACATTGATAAAAATGATGGAAGAATTATACATTGATAAAAATGGTGGAAGGATTATACATTGATAAAAATGGTGGAAGGATTATACATTGATAAAAACATGTAATCAGTTAACAAAAGAATGCAATAAACTTAAGTATATGAAAATAAAAAGGAATTTATCATAAGATATGCAATGATCAATTTAAAATAGTTAAACATTGTAGAAACTATAAGAGTTATTTATTAATATGCTTAAAAATTTTTAAAGAAAAAATTGACGAGGTTAAACATATTGCTAAGCTTATGTAGAAAACCCTAAAAAATCATACTGACTTATATCAAAAAAATAAAAAGAATGTATTTAAAGATATTATATTTGAAGAAAATGGAAAAGACACTGCAAGTAATAAATATAATGAATTTTTAATCAAAAGTATTCAAGATATTGATAAGTCTATTAAATTTGAGTTGAATTATAATGTCAAACAAAATATTCATATAAATGTTATCATAAATGTTCTCAATGGTTTCAAACCAATGATCTTGATAATATAATTAAAAATATGAAGATGCTTTACAAGTAATTCTCTCAATTTGGTCAAAAAACAAGTAATTCTCTCGAATTTACAAGTAATTCTCTCAAATTGGCATTAAACAATAATAAATTTGTAACCACAGTAATGCTGGACTTAAAACGCGCTTTCAAAGCTATTAGAGACCTTCTAATAAAGAAATAAAATTGCTATAAAGTTGGAGGTAAAGTTCTTGAACGGATTAAAAACTTTTTGTCTGAGAGAATTCAAGTGGTAAAGAGTGATGAAAAAGAATCTTATGTTTTGGAGTGTGAGATTGGAGTGCCTCAGGTCTGTTTTAAGCCCCTTACTCTTTATTATATACATGAATGATTTAACCAATATAATCAAACATGTAAAAATAAATAATATTTGCTGATGATACATTAATCTATATCAAAAGTGCTAATTTCAATGATGCAATCGTGAAACTAAGAGAAGATCTCAAAGCTAGTATATTATGGTTAAATAACAATAAACTGAACACAAAGAAATCAATGGTAATGTTAGTAACTAATTTGGT